CATTTATTGATTCTTGGTTTTATTTCTTGAGCTTTAGTGGTCTTGCTAAGGAAGTCGGTGGCTGCGTCAATGTTGGAGCATTGACCCTACATTTTCTTCTAACACCAGCAGATTTATTTTTATGGAAGCTGATGAGAGTTGTTTATTCATTGAACAAATAATGTTGGATGGGAGGCCTGGAAAGGCATCCCAGAGAGAGTAGCATTTAGGTGAAAACACAAGCATGCCACAGACGAATTCTAGAGAAGATGCTGGTTTTTCTTTCACCCAAACTGCTGCTACCCCACTCTCTTAGGACCCTGCTCTTCTCCCAGTGTCGCCTTCCTGTGCTCTTGTGTCCCCCCACCTTCATTCCTTCATTCAACAGCTGTCTGTTGAATAGCTGTTTTGTGCACTGCTCCAGGCATTTGAGATACTCAAGGAACCAACTAGACAGGAGAAGGGAGATGGAGATTCAAGGATATACACACGATAAATAGGTAAAGTTCATGCCACACTTCTTCTAAATGCAGTCAGAGTGAGGCCTTGCATTCCGCCCTTGGACTGAAGCTCTGTCTTTCAGTGTGGCTCCTTGAGGCTCCAGCCACTGTTTTCCACCATGCTTTTATTTGTCAGGTCCTTTTTTTTTTTTTTTTTAATTTTTTAGTTATAGATGGACACAATACATTTATTTATTTTATTTTTATGTGGTGCTGAGGATGGAACCCAGTACTTCACGCATGGAAGACAAGTGCTCTACCACTGAGCTACAACCCCAGCCCCTGTCAGGCCTTTTTAAAAAGTCACTCTGCCTGAGAAGATTTCTAGGAATCTGTTTTTGAGTTAGAGATGCTGTGTTGTCACGGGTCCTCCTTACCACTTGTATGTAACATGGGTGACAAGTGACATTTCTTAGCTTCTATGTAATCACATTTAAGATCTGTTTTTTCCATTAGCTTGTAAGTGACTGGATGGCTAGATGGTGCCTTTCCTGTTCCCTCCTGGGTCAGAACGTGGCCCTTCTCCCACACAAAGACCAGGAAGGGGCTGGACTTCAGCTCACTGCTCCAGAAATATTCAGAGATTGGGAGGAAAATAGGTTTATTCAAAGCCTCCTTTGAAGGAAGATAGATAAAACAATAAGTGCAATCTCTAAAGGTGAGCAGGGTTTTTAAGGGACGGGAGGCCTGGGGGAAGAGACTGGGGCTGAGACAGACAAAAGGCAGGAAATGCACATATGCAAACTGGTTATCCTGAATTCCAGGCCTGCTGAGGGGGCTGAGTCCGCTCTCAGCTTCTTTGGCACCTGTTGTGAGGGGTGGGGGCTGTGGTCCTTCAGCCTCCCCTCAGTAGGAGGAATTTGCATGTGGGGGGGGGGGGAGGGATGAGTTGTCTCAGGAATTTTCACCCAATTCCATGTGGGGGGAGGAGGGACAATTCAGTCCACCCCTTGCTTTCACTACCCCTTCCTTTCCCCCAACAAGTTAGGGTAGGTGTGACTTGCACATATTTAGCACTTAAGAGTTAAGGTCCCAAAGCTTCACCATCCCAGCCACTGGAGCCTGGGCCTTAGGATTCGGTGCCTCACCGCCCCACCCCCTTCCTTAGTGCATTTCAGCTTCAGCCTTGTGGACTTTCTGTTTCTAGAACATATTAAGTTCCTTCCTAATTAGGGTTTTTCACCTGTTGTTTCTGTCCGGGATCCTTTCTTCCTGATCTTCTGAAGGCAGTGAGCCGTTTTTGTCCTCAGGTTCCAAATTTTACTTCAGAAGGGCCTTTTCAGAGTAATCTATCAAAAACAGGTTCCTTTTCTTATTTTCTAGAACTCTTTGTGCAGTGTAACATTTATTTTGACTCTCAATTGATTTCTTTACTCCAGTTTCTGTTTCCCATATTAGGCTTTGACAGGCTCCATGAGGGCAGAAAATTTATTTCATGCACTGTTGCTGAGTAAACATTTATTGAACTAGTATATAAATGGATGAGTAAGAACATATGGGCCACCCTCATTCTTTTTAAAGGCCGTGTAATATTCTGTTTCTTATAAATGTACCATTTGTGTTCTAGTCTTCAGAAGGCCTATCAAATTGGTTTTCAGAGTTTTTCCTTTCAGAACAACAACACACTGAAAATAACACATTTCTTTTATAGGTTGGTCTCTGTATGAATGTGTATGAGGATATCTATAGGATAATTTCCCAAGAGTAAAATTGATGGGTCAAAGATACATGTCTTTGTACTGATGGATACTAACAGTTTATTTTTAAAAAGATTATATTTCCTGCAGCACTGATAGTGTGAGAAGTGCTCTTCTACCTGAGTCACCTTCAGGTCACTCCTGGCCATTATCGACTTCAGTATCTAGATGAGAAGTGGGATCTCCTTGCTTTAATCAGCCTTTCCATGATTAGGACTGAGGCTGGACATATTTCATATGTATTCTTGTGGATTTTTTTTTTTTCCTTTTCTTTCTTTTTTTCTGTTTGGCTGTATTGGGGATGGAACCCAGGGCCTGGCAAGTTCTCTGCCAGAGCCATGTCCCCAGACCCTTTTACTTACTATTTTGAGGCAGTCTCACTATGTTGCCCAGATGGGCTTCAAGCTTTCGATCCTCCTGCCTCAGCCTTCCACGTAATGGATTTCTTTCTATTTGAACCTCTTATTTAATCTCTTTCACATTTTTTTTTTCTGATGGTTGTTGGTCTTTTCATAGGTGTTTCAAAGTTTTATTAAATTTTTTTTTCTTTCTATAACCTGATAGGGAGGTTTTACAATGTCATGTGTCAGTGCTGTTGACTTTGGAGCCAAATGAGCCTTTTTATCTTTTTAAAAGTAGTTTTATATATTTCAGTAATAAAACTGCATGCTGAAAGACCATGTGGGAACTGAGTGTACTTGACAGTTTATTTTTTGAAACTGATAATAAAGTTTTCTAATGTCTAGTACATAATTTTTTGGGGAGGGGGGATGAATGGGCAACAAGTATAAAGTTAATTTTTAAGGCAGTTTGATTTTATTTGAAAGTTTGTTTAGTAGGATTTTAATTTTCACAGTAAGAAAATGTAAGCATACCAGTTAAAAGATAATTTTTTCGGCAGCTTGCAGAAGTGATTGGTAGCAGTTAAAGAAATTTTAGAAGCTTTTCTGTGTTTATATATTATTCTTTTTATATACACACACACATCTCTAGTGTTTGTGTGTGTGTGTGTGTGTGTGTGTAAATGATAAAATATTGCTAATGAATTATCCTTTAAAAATTTCCTATTAGTTCTCTACAGGTAACTTTCTGGATAGCAGTTTAATTTCTCTCAGATTATCATTGGTAAATATACTCTTAGGCATCTGAAAGAAATGTTAAAAGTTTCCTTCTGGGCTTATTATAATCCAGTCTTCATCAGCCATCACTCTTCCTGTATTTTGTTGGAGAGGCACTAATTGTTCGCATTTGGCAGGTTTAACACTTCCTGACAGAGAGGCCATTAAAGGCAAGTATTCTCCAATAACTGTCACTGGCTGGAACAAAGAACCTTCCAACTCAATGTGTGGAAACCACTAACGTTCTTAAATGACCCTTTTCATGGATTTTTATCCTTTTAAGCTAAAATTTGGAGAATGTGAAGTCAGTGAATACAGCAAGGTGTAATAAAGCAGTAAACCTTGATTTTGGGGGGCGTGGGGTGGGAGGTTATAGATTTATCTCTGACTTGAAAACAATTGTTATTTGGAAATCTCATTAGCAGATGTGACTGCTTGGAGTAAAAAAAAAAAAGACTTAAAACTGATGTCGCTTTCAGGACTGCTTTGAACTTAACAAGCACCTATTTGTGGAGCAGACTGGCTAATGAAAGGAAATTAAATTTTTCTGACAACTTCCCCTGCCAACCTCCTTATTCGGGGGACGTTATTAGGTACTGAAGACTTTCAAGGAAGATTTTTTTTTTATTAGACATAAACGAACCAGTTATAAACATCCCCCACTGCCTTTTGGGGGGAGGATTCTGACATGGTCACTCTACATTTTAAATAAATTAGCTTTAAAAATACCAGACTTCAGTATTTTGAAGTTGTTTTCTAAAACTTCAGTCATTTTACCTTGTGTCACTGAACTACAAAAAATAATGAAACCAAGGAGGAAACTTGGAGTTCAGAATTTTAGCGGTCTTTCTATGGGAACCTGTCCGGAGGGTCCTGTTGGGTGTGTTGGGTGGGGGTTAATGGGTGATATAGATGCAGGAAACTTGTTGCCTTTCAGCTAGTGAGAGGTACAGTGGCCTTGGTTGATGTTTAGCAGTGACTAATCCTTATATCAATAAACTCTTCCCTTGTGGTGTTTAGGAAGGCATTTGTATTTGGCTTTTTGTAGTTTTTTTTTTTTTTTTTTTAAACCATACTAGTTTAGTTGATTGAATTTAAAGTTTTGCTTTGTGTAACAGACTGCAACCTTAAAGATAAAATATGTACCTGAAAAAAAGGTGAAATAAAATAGAAAACGTCAAGGAGATCACTAAAGGGATTTCTTTGAATAATTGGTAAGTCCTATAGATCCTGGAAATTTACCTTTTGACTTCTGGAAAATCGATCAAGCTCCTCCCAAACAATAGAGAATCAACTCCCCCTGCTGACAGAATCCAGGAAAACATGACACCCAAGTATCCGACACAGAAACAAGCGGGCTGCAGACAAGCTTTAATGATCTGATTTATGATTCGGTATTGATTGTAAACATCTAAATTCTGCCATTAAATTCCGGCAACTGCACCAAGTCATTGGCAATTCTGGTAGTGCTTCCTGCCAGCTCATTTCAAACTGCTTTGAGTTTCTTAATATAATAATGATGAGGTAGAATTTACATTCCACTTATGGTATTAATTTTACATTTCTCTGAATGAAAAGGGTTAGAAGGTTGTAAAATTGAGCATTAAATGAATCGGAGGAGACAGTAGTGCAATATACGACTGCCCTAAGGACATTGCGCAGTGCCTCATGGGATTAATGTTGAGTCTCATTTCCTGCTTTTACAGGATGCAGATGAAGCTGTCAGAATTGCAAGGGAAATTGGTAAGTTCTTAAATTAACTTTGGTAGGGTTTCTATGTCTTTGAGCAGATACGGTTGAGTAAACGTGTAATAAGTAATTCCCATAGAGCAAATAATATTTTAATAGTTTTAGGTTTCTGATTACTTGTCCCTCTGAAAGAATTTATCAGTTGAATTATCATATTCTGTTATTAAACTGGACTTTAAAGAGTAATTTGACCTTAGCTATAGCTCTTTTGTAAGATGAAATCACTCACTAATTAAAGGAAGGAATTGTCAAGAATCCTCAAGATTGGATGTAATATAAATTTGTATGTAAGCAGCTGAATGCAGTTTCTAAAGTTAAGGAATGTATATGATTAACGTGAACATAATATGTTGGACAAAATTCTCAAAATTTTTGCCTTTCCCTAAGATGTTAAATGTTGACTTAATGATCTTGCCAGGAAAGATAAAATAGAATGTGGGAAATTAGGACAGAGTATTCTAAATTGGAGTAAAAGGTAAACTGGAAGACAGGTCAGCAGTGGCTATTGTACTTTTTAGTTTCAAATATATTCCTACTACTCATGAGCATGATTGTATTTTCAGTTTCTGCTGAGAAAATGTATAAGGGCATACTGTTATCATGGGTTAGCAAAGCTATTAAAAATTGTACCTTTTATTAATCAAATCAGCAGTCATATTGGTTTGACAGAGATTTGTAGACAGATGAGAGAGATAAGGCCTGGTAGGGACTCACAGCAGCTTAAGCATTCCTATAACTCCTGTACCCCACTAGCAGTTCTATAGTCGTGTTTTCTCATTAAGGTGATCATTTAGAAATGAGGTCCGCAGGTGGAAAGCATTTGACTTGGCAAAGTGTGTATAGTTGTGATATGTAGAAACATTGGTCTGAAAGTGATCTCACAGCCCTCAGTAAGCGCCTGCAGTTGGGACAGGCTTGGGCCTTGGTGATTTGAAAGTTGTTTTGCTTGATGTATCCCTGTTTCTAGTTGGATCTGGTTAAATTATTTTTGTTTTGCTCATTATTAATTCTGTTTTGTTGTTCATTTGTTTTGCAAAAATGCCCTGGATTTGAGACCAGGCCATAGAGAAATCTTATTTTATCTATCTATAACATCTCTTCATTAATCATTTTTTTAGAATTGTCAACATTTTCTAAAAGCATCTCATTACTTGACAGTGAGGTCTGCTGGATAAATCAAAAGTTGCTGTCTGTGATTTGAAATCATTGGGAGTCCTCATTTGCCTACAACTCACAGAACATACCTATTGGCTTTTGAAGAGACTTTCCTAATGTAGTTTAGTTTTATTCTAGCATATACTTTTAAACTTAAAGATCCTCTTTCTCATTCTGATTGGTATGTTATTATCTCCTACTTAATAGGACAGAATAATAACATTATCATAATAGTATCTACATAAAAACAATATTTGGAGGAATTTAGGGAAATAATAGAGGATTAAAAGGAAAATCTAGAATTCTATTGCTGTGCCACACTTAGAATTATGAATCACTAACCTGTGAGCATTTCCTTGGTGCAGATGGCAAACTGCAGATGGCTTTGCTTGCGTTTTATGTTTTTCTTCTACCTTTTTAATAACCTGTGCTTCTGATTCTCAATACTTTGTTTTCTTCCTTCAACATTTGAATGTTGTGCTTTACCTTCTTTTCAGTCTTTTTTCTTCTGAGCTCCCCTAAATTCAGTGTAAGTCTCTTTTCTTTATACTTGGGCACATCCTTTGTGATTTCTTCTGCTTCCCTATTTTTACTTCTGATTCTGCCTCTATTATCCCTTCTCATTTGTGAAATAAATGATCACAATCTTGGTTGTTAACTGTGCAAGTGTTTTGCTTACAATGAAAGAAAGGGAAGCCATAAAATTTGAGGTGAAATAAAACATGATAAAGAACCAGGGTCATCAGTTTCTATAAGTGTTTGGAATTCCCCTGAGAACGTCTCTGAGTCACCACAGAAGTCCCCCATAAAACCTTTCCTTCAAGGGCTAGCTGCGAACATAAGTCAAATTGCATATTAAAGCCTCTTGGTTTCCCCCTGTTACTTTTATTGAGATATATCACATTTTAACTATTATTATTGCCATGGGCCATTTTGAGTTTATCTAAGAGGTGAACTAAACATTGATTCCACAGGAAATAATACATTCCTTGTTCTAAACAACTGAATAAAATCTTCCAACCTGTCCATTTGTAAGTTTCTGATTTCCTATCTATCAGACCTATTCATAGATTTCTTTTGTTTCTTTCTTTGATACATGCTGAAAAAAAAAATCCATCCTGTTTTGTGTGGTTCCTCCTCATAAGAGTCTTCTCTTCTGCAAATAGGAATCTATGCTGCTGAAGTTGGAAACTGAGCATTAGGCGCCTTGTTATAGCACATTTTCCTATGTGCCAGGTACTTTGGAAATGTTATTTTTTAAAAAATATTTATTTTTTAGTTGTAGTTGGACACATACCTTTGTTTTACTTACTTACTTATTTATTTATTTATTTTTTAATGTGGTGCTGAGGATTGAACCCAGGGCCTCTCACGTGCTAGGTGAGCGCTCTACCACTGAGCCACAACCCAGTCCCTGGAAATGTTATTTTTAATGCTAATTCTTGGGTTTAATTATTTTCATTTTCATTTATAGGAAATTAAGGAGTAGAAGTAGTAATTAATTTGCTCAAGGCCACCAAGCTACTGGTTTAAATTTAGATTTCTTTGATTCCAAAGACCATGGTTTTTTCATTATACTTTGGCTAAACTAATGAGATTTCAGGATGGATGCTAAAATTTGAGTCACTGTTTAGTATAAAACGTCATAAGGTACTTATGTGTGTGGGACTGAAATAGACAGCAGCTGCCCATGGGTGGGATGATAGACGCTTAAGAATTAAAATGTTCCCTCTGTGTATTAGTTTTGTGGACTACCTTGCCTCCTACATTCAACTCCTGATTTTTTCCTTTGACCCCTAAGTGTAGAGATAGAGAGCTATTGATCCCCAGTTTACCTTTAACCCCAAAGGTAGATATCAGTAATCAGTGAGCTTGACTTCCATTAAAGTAATCTTTTTACTGGACCAAAGGTCCTTAGTACAATTAAGTCAAATTGATTATTGAAAGGAAAAGAAATTGTAAGTCTAAACCTGCCTTTTGACAGTTTCTTGTTTATTCTGATTCTTTTCTTTTGCCTATGTTTCTCACGATCACAAATTATGCTCAATTTAAATTAAAATGTTTTTTTCTTTTATCCCGAAGTCCAACATCCTACAAACCCAGTCTCCCAAGATTTCCACATCCCAGTAAGTGTTACCCGATTCCTCAAGGCCCGGACCTGGGATGTGTCCTGGGCGCCTCTTTCCCTGTTGTCCTGTAGGATGGAAGTCCCTGTGCAGGTGCTGCCATCCTCTCTGCACACACCCCATAGTCACTGCCTGCTGTGTGTGTCACCCCCTCTCTCCTCCATACTACCCTTGTCATAGCAAGGACTATGGCAATAGTTTTTGTACCCCTTATTTAGCACCATTCTTCATAGAACGTCATGCAATGTTTTAAAACTTTAATGATCAGGGCACATCTCATCCCCTCCCGTCCCACCCGTCCCTGCTTTGCACCCGCTAATGACATAACATTGCCCTTGGATGAATTCACAGTACCCTGCTGATATGGATGCCATGTGATTCGCGCCTGTCTTTGTCTCCAGTTTTCTGCTACCTCCCTCCTTGTCCCATTGGCTCACTTGAACACACCAACTTTCAGAGCCTTAGGATTAAGGTCTTCTGGGGGAGGGGTATAGAGGAGACCTGGAAGACTCATGCTGATATCCTCACATAGATGACTTCATGTAGTCTTCATATCTGGGCTTAAATATCATGTCTTCCAGGGAAGATGCCCCGATGTTGCCACCCAGATACGTGTCTGATGACCATATTCTAAGTTTCTGCATGGTACTTGTGACTTACCAGTAATTTACTTGTTCATTAATTTCCTCACCAATATTCTGTTTTGAAAAATTTCAATCAAACAGCATTTTCAAAGAACTTTATAGTATACTGTTTTTTCAACACCAAGATTATATATCCATATATAATATATTGTATTGTATGTATACAAAGACATGTTATATACTCAATACCACTGTTATCTAACCATATCATTAACCCATCTTGTTTTTTGTTGTATTTTAAAGTAAACTGCACATATTGGTACGTGTCCTACCAAATACCTCAGCATAGGGCTGGATGCTCACAATGCCTAGCGTTCCATCCCCAGTACTGCTCCCACCCCCTCACCAAGAAAAAGAAAGAAGAACTTCCATATACATGTCATAAACTGAATTCAGTATTTATATATAGTTTTGGTGCAAATTTGCATATTATGTGTAAATGTGAGTAAATGTTGCCTATATTTGCCGATTTTGATTTTAATATATGTATATATCTATGTAACTGTGGACCCTACCAAGATAGTGAACATTTCTGTCACCCCGGAAAGTTCTTTCATGCTCTTTCTAAATTAGTTTTTACCCCTTATTCCTGGAGGCAACCTGCTTTAAATTTTTTACACCGAAGATAAGATGTTAAAAATTTGAGATAAAATTTAAATACTATAACATTCAGCCTTGCAAGGTACATAATTCAGTGGGGTTTTTTTTTTTTTTTTTTGAGAGAGAGAGAGAGAAAGAGAGAATTTCAATATTTATTTTCAGTTTTCGGCAGATACAACATCTTTGTTTGTATGTGGTGCTGAGGATCGAACCCGGGCCGCACGCATGCCAGGCGAGCGCGCTACCGCTTGAGCCACATTCCCAGCCCAATTCAGTGGTTTTTAACATATTCATAAGATTTTATAGCCATCAGAATCTTCTGATATCAGAATATCTTCATTACTCCCCCTAGGAACTCTACCCATTGGTATTTACTTCCTATTTTTCCCCCACATACCCCCCAATAACCATTAATTAACTATTGTCTTTATGGGTTGACCCAATCCAGATATTTTATATAAATGGAAGC